TGTTTTGTTTTGTTTTGTTTTGTTTTGTTTTGTTTTGTTTTGTTTTGTTTTGTTTGAAAGCACATACATATAAGCCCAGTACTAGTGAAGCAAGGACAAGAAGATTCCTGGGGCTCCCTGGACAGCCATCATAGCCTACTTGGTGAGCTCCAGCCCAGAAAGAGAGCATGTCTCCAGAAAAATACAGATGGACAGTGCCTAAGAAAGGATATTTGAGGTTGTCCTGTGCCATTCACAACTATGCACACGAGAAGGGGAATACACATACAATACATACACAACATACACAGACACACTAAAAATTCAAATGACCTTCTAAGAATTCAGCCTTTTACTAGAAATTTGGCCAGTGATCTCAAATTATGAAAGTCTCCAAACTAGGATAGTTTAACTTCACCCCTTACTGAAAACTGAAAAATACAAAGATCCCATTTCCTGCAAGGGCAAACACAGGTGACTCCGTCGAATTTATAGCACCCTAACCAGAAAACCAGTTTTCATGTAACCTTGAAACACTCAAGGGCAAATGTCGGTTTTATTATTAATAGATTTTGGGTTCTGAGCTCAATAAAGTGAATCAAATAAAACATAGCCTAATGTCATAACATTCATAACAGCTTTAAAATGTTGCTCACATTTTCAAATTATCCATTCTATCTGGGAAAGAATACCTTCCATTCAGCCCTTTATTTATACCAGATGGCTTCATCCGACATATTCATGGTAGATTTATTCTACTTGGGAACTGAAACAAGGCTCCTTGCCTGTCACAGCCAGACAATTACCTAAGCTTGTCTTCCTACTGACCTTATGCTTCTAAGAACAAATTTCTGAAGAAAGGAACAAGTATTTGATAAGCTGTCATATGTGTTATGAGCTTGCTGACACACTTTTTAAAAAGACATATATTCTTGGACATGCCCGTGTCATGTCCCAAAGAACCCTGGGACAAGTTTCACTCAGTATCAGTGGCTCCTCCAGACACTTCTCACCCCACCCCCACCATAAACCTCTCTAGCCCAGGGGTTGGATTTCCCATCCCTCAGCCTCGCTTTTCTATATAACCTCAGCCATTTTGGCCATGCTCTCCCGGGCTCTCCTGGTGTTTTGGCTCCTAGCTGGCTTGATCTTGGCATTTTTGACCTCTTGGTTCTGTTCTCTCTCTCTCTTTTTCCTCTCTTGCTCCCCTGACTCTCTGTCTCTCCTCTCATCACCTTGTTCAGCCAGGGCCCTTCCAGATGCCTCTGGCTGTACTGCAGCTTATATCTAAAAAAAAGAAAAATAGCTTCTCCTCAGCCATATCTAGGAGCACTCATATCCTCATTTTAATTCATCATGTGCTTCTTCTTTTCTTTCTTTCTTTCTTTCTTTTTTTTTTTTTTTTTTTACTTTGACTTGACTTCTTAAAGGTATATCCTGTATCCTGGCTACCACAGTACTGTAGATGTAACAAGGATATGATCTTTCTGTAAAAGTGCACCCCATTACATACTGGGAGATAAAGTTACTGGTGTTAGAAAAGAAAAGAAATGGAATCAACTTGATGAGTTAAATCCAACCAGAGGAGATGGATGGAGACACGTGGACTGGAAAGTTTGACCTAGTAAAATCAAAAAAGTTCTTAACTTTCCCAGGGATTCATTCCAATAAAGTAAGATAATCTTCTTCGGCTTTAATTTATTAACAGCAACTGTCTCTGTATTTTGTTATCCATTTGTTTGTTTGTTTGTTTGTTTTGAGACAGGAAAGGGTCTCTCCATGTAGACCTGCCTGACCTGGAACTCACTACATACATGAGACTGTCTCTATGTTTGAAGTGAATATTTAAAAACGAACTCTATAAGTAAAATTTTCAAATACTTTATTAAAAGGCGAAGGCCACTAATGTTTTCAGAAAGCATTTTGAAAACAGTCTTATAAAACAACACTTAAATATCACTCATATATTTAGTTATTCCAGAGTGAACAGATCTCAGAGAGTTAAAAACACACATTGAAATCTAAATTCAAACTAAATCATTTTAAAAATATTTTAGGGGCTGAGGATGTAATTTGGTTGGTAAAATGCTTGTCTCTGGGTTAAAGCCATGGTGCTGTACAAATCAGGTATGGTGACACACGCCTATAATATAAGCATTCAGGAGGCAAAAACAGAAGGATCTGAACATGAAGGTCATCCCCAGTTACACACCAAGCTGGAGATCAGCCTGGACTACAGGACATCCTGTCTTGAAATAAAGTATTTAAACATATGTATTCTGTTTTATCTTAAAAGTAAACTCTTTAACTTCCTTGCAAGTTAATGGATGCTGTTATTTCAATAAGTAGCAAGCTGCCCCCAGTGAGTAATTGTCACCATACTCCATCTTTGCACACTCAAAGCATCCATGTCAAATGCTCCGGATGCATAACTAGCCCTGTCTCTTAGCAGTTCATGCATTCTTAACCAAGCTCACAACGTTCGAGGAAAGCTCAGAGTTCTAATTTATTAGTTTTCCTATGGATTTTGGACCAGAGTACTGATGCTGATTCATCCAGCCACGAAATTCAAATGTACCTACATATTGGAAACTTCACTTACATATGAATCAACTTGTATTGTTATTGTTGTCTCTAAAATTTTCTTTTTATTGTTTTTACCTTTACTGTTTTCCTGGCCAAAAGGACAGTACACTGCCTGAAGGCATGAAACAGGTGTTTCTACTTCTCTGCCCCCAGTGCCCTATTATGTTCTTTGAGTGAGTGAATTCTGTGAGCCCTGAAGCAACTTGGCATACTATCAATCACAAAGGCCATGGAAATATAAATGTGAGAAGACAACACTGCCTACAGTCCAACTCTTAGGCTTCCATGACTCAGAATTGCTGAAAATTAATGAAACCACAAGCCTTTGTGGGGTTGCCTAATTACGAATCAGTTGATCAGGAGATTCAGCCACAGGAGTTCCCTTCCAAATATATTTCTGCTTGCAGTCGAAACAACTAGGGCACAGATATTCGAAAAAAGGAATTCATTGCATCATTTAGTCAAATCTCTTAACATAATTTCAAAACCTGTAGTATCAAGTACAATAAACATTTAGAATCTATTTGAAAACATAGGCTTGTAAATTCCAGTTTGGTCTGAGGGTTATTTTGTTTTTGAAGAAGGGTGTCCTGTAGCCAAATGATATTAAACTCCTGATCGCCCAGCTTTCGTCTCTCAAGTGCTGGAATGAAGAGCATTGCCCTACCACGCCCCACTAGTCCAAAGATTTAACTGTATTAGCAGAAGAACTCTAGGCAAGAAGGTCGATTTCAAATTTAAACAAATAGTCTTTTCTCTTTATCTAGTACTTCTTTTAGCACACACCTTCATAAATCCCAAAAGAAGCCTCAGGCACCACAGCTATTATATCTGCACACCAACCACCTTGCTACCATGAAGTCAAGCAAGATGCTTGCAAATCAATAGCTATGAAATAAGTCACAAAAATGCCGCTTTTGACCAAAAAAAGAGATTATTTTTATTTACACTTGGCAAGAATCAACATTAATCTTCTGTAAAGTCTTCATTGTGCTTTTAAATTGTTTCTCATTTGTAAATACGGCAACTAAAAATACCCTAAGGGATTCGGTTTTCCAATCCGCACTTTAAAGCACTTGTTATCTACCACGTCCACTTGCAGGTTTGACATCAGGCGAGATGCTATTACAGGACTAGAGTCATGTTTAAAAGGCATTTGCAGCTCGCTGAATTGTATTATCTACACTATACAAGACTTGGCACATACTTAAATTATTGAAAATAAAGTACAGAGTGAGTTACTCTTCTTCACGGCGCTTTCAGGCAGATATCAGAATCTCTTCTCCCTAAAGAAAAAGAATAGCAAACATCAGGACAAAGTCGTTCAGTATTAAAATAATAGTTTAACTCAAATTTGTAATATTGAACCTAATGCTATGCCTCAAGCAGCTATTGTTTAAAATTCAGCCATAAGGATAGCGTACTGGATGGGAAGGAAAAGTTAGCTGCAGTCTAAATTGGAGTTCTATTTACATTTTTATTTCAAAGGCTAGTTATTCATTAATTCAATTCACATTTGAGTCTAATTATCAACTTATGCCTGAGCGTGGTTCCTTGTCCTCAAAATTATAAAGTCTCATTTTATCATAAATATTAAACTGCATCAGTCATGGCACATCTTCTCATTCAAAACAAAACACTAACCCTTTTTCATAAAAGAACAACAGAGACATCAGTTGGCTGGTGTGTTCACTCCTGAGCTCAAGACATTCACTAAAAATAGCTTTGCTCAAGAGGGTCATGCATGCTAGTAAAACACCCAAGTTTGCTCATTTGAATTCCTTTGCTACAGTAAAAAAAAAATTCATTCATTCATTCATTCAAACATCATCAGTTCAGAAGTCAGAATCACAGGACCTAAGCTAGCACAAGCTAGTACATGCATGAGTTACTGAAGTAAAATGGTATTTACTGTCTACAAAAGGGAATAGGGACAATAAGCTAGAAATAAAGAGATTAAACTATCCTGGAATCACACTTCCTATAGTTCTACCGTTTTACGAAAAAAAATGTGTTAGAGCATCTTATGGTCCCTTTGTGTCATTACCTCTCACCTGATTGGCTGGCTCCAGCTACCTCCTTGTTGCATTTTTCTTATGAGTCTTCCTGTTTATGATGTGGTTATGAATAATTTGACCCACACACCCTGAACCCGACACTCCATACCACTTTCAAACCTGGGCAGCTAGGCACACCTGTGGTACTTTGTGAACTCCTAGCCGAAGACTTTTCAACTGGATACTGCAGAGGTGTTACAATGCCTTGATCTGGTTTCTGAAACGCTGAAATGAGATTTTTTACTTTCCGGAAAAATCTTTTATGTACCCCGGGTGCTGTCTGGAAAATAAAAGACCAAAACCATTATTTATTTGCCTCCTAGTGCTTAAAAAAAAAGAACTATAAGATGTGAGAAGGATGCTGAGAGGTAACATTTGTGCAACTTGCTCAAATATTTGAAAACATAAGGAAGAAAGCAAAACAACATCCAGAAGAGCTTACTTTGCTTGGCTGCATTTCCCTGCAAGAGGAGCTAATGAGCTGTCATTTCAGCTCTCCCAAGGGTAGTATTAGTTCCTACAAGCTCTTGCTCACAGCCCTGCCCTTCCTGACTGGTACCCATCATGCATCCCGAACCTCTAAGGGTGTACAGGCCATTACCCACAATGAATTCAGTAACAGAGGGGATGCAGTTAAACATAAAAAAAAGGACAGATTCTACAGGTCATTAATAAAAAGCCCGAGCAACCAAAACACCAACTAACAACCTATCACCTATCAATGTTTCACAATATAAAATACACAGAAAATTAAAAACTGACCATTATGATACATGTAAATGCATGACTGGCTATCACTTATACGTTTCTACATCATAAGCCATACTAACTCATCCTTCGTGTAAATTTTGTGTTCTTTTCCCCAACTGTTCTCACAGTTGGAGCTAAGCCATGACAAGATTTCCTCTGTGACATGAAAATGAAAGGCTATAGAAGGTCACCTTTGTTTATATATTTGTTAGTTTTTAAAGAGATCACATTTGCAGGTGGCTGCCAGAGGTGTATTCTTTCCCTGACATCTGCGCTCTCACAAAGACACTGCCTGAAATCAACACTCCCCACAAAGCTTTTGAGCCAAGCATTAGACACCAGCTCCAAACTGTCATTTTACATAAAATAAAATAGTATTTCTATGAGCAACTGAACAATGACTACTCTTGGTTTTTTTTTCTATTATATTTTTTAGAAAGTTGTTTTTCAGATATTCCATCTGGAAGGTTTTTGAGAAGGGAACTGCTTGGTTTTTAGCATTTAATGAGAAAACATGAAGCGTGGCATACAGACTTCTGTCAACTAGACCATAAACTAGAGATAACAGGCTATCCAAGGCTAGTCTCAGTCATTGCCTACTTTGGAGCAAGGACTTTTCCAGTACAAACCCTGTAGATGTTCTTGTTCACCGTAAATTACTGCCCACTCTCAACAGATAGAAAACAGTCTCCCACCCATCTCTATCCATAGAATCTGAAGACCTTCCTTTCTGTTGAGGCCACATCTAAAAGTAACATGGCCATTCTTGCAGAGGTCATGCTTGTGAGTAGCTCTTTTGCTCCAAGGTAGACTTTGAAAACTGCAAAAGCGAGCAATGGGTACAAAATACTTCCTTAAGTCTTTCTTAGGGCATTTCTCAATCTTTCCAAACACTTTCCAATCTCTTGCCTTCATTATTGCCTCTCGGACTGGTAGATACATATATACTCTTTCTATTGTTTTTATTCCACAGCCACAAACATGTAAACGAATCATCTTACAGAAAGTAAATTAATAAGCAAGTATGCTATCACACAGATGATCGGAAGCAGCAGAGTTGTCTCTGCATTCCTTTCAGACTAGGAATAGACCAAGAAGTTTCTAATGAAGCTGAGGTCACCAGCCAGAGGAAAAACATATTTACCAAGAGTGGAACCATTTCAAAACCACACTTCATTTAGACTAAATTTTTGTGGTTTATAAAAGCATTTTCAACAAAGGCATCATTTCTTTGGGGACTAATAGTTAACACTTGATTATCCATGCTGACAGAGAAGACTAATAGCACTGGACATATAGAAGCAATTTAAACTTGAGATGCAACGTTTCTTCAGCAAATGACTGACCTAATTTATGATGCTTGGCTTAGGCCAGTAAGTAATTTGCTTACTAGCTAAGGATCTCCTGATGACCAACTATGCAGAAAGGCCCAAAGGCACAGAAATTGGCAGGGAGAGAACAGTACGATTTTGACAATGCACTGATGACAATCTATACATTAATAAATGATGATCAACAATTCATCATAAATTTTAGTCTCCAAGGACTGGATTAATATCCTCAGCAGTGTTCTACCTAAAATGAAAAACATGCATATTTGTGATGTATAATTCATAAATTCAAGGTTCATTGTAATCTCAATCTTAGGCTTAACAAGCTTTCTAATGGTCTATGCACAGAAGACAGAAAACTACTGACATGACTTTTTCTTACAGTGTGGCAAACTAAAATGTTTTTTTCTAAATGTAGTATAGTACCACTAACCAAATTTTGGAAAGACATTTATCACACACAAAAAGATCACCACTGACAACACCATCCTGTCAGTGAATTCATTTCTTGTTCAAATTTGTGTATTTCCGATACTGCCATCTCTTAGTTATCCACAGGTATGTTTTGAATCGCAGCTGGTCTTCAATGTAGTCTGGATAAATTTCTTCCAGCCAGGAAGCACAAGTTCTGAGAATATTCACTAGTTTAATAGTCTCCTTAACAAGAAGGCAAATGTTGTAGACAGAAAAAAAAATGTTCACATTTCATAAAACAAAAAGAGTTTTGCCTCTTTCACATTTTGGGATAATCCATGCCAATTGTCTGTACTTGTGCAAATAATTACAATATTATTAAATAGTGAGAGTCCAATCAGACAACATAAAGGATATTTATGTTCAATAAGCCCTCTCCTTCTTAAAATGCTTATATATATGTAACAATGTGATGTGATATTATCTGTGAAACAGAAGAAAACAAATTTAAAACGTGTCCAAGAATCCATATCCCATCCCTTCCTCCCAAGGCTTAGGCATCATTGAGAAAGACGGATGAAAAGAGTGTAAGGGCCAAAGGTGGTGAATGGCTCCAAGGAAACAATGTCTTCCAGACACAGCAAAACTGCTTCATATATGAATTCATGGTGGTTATAAGAGTATACACAAGACTTGTGCAAGCCTGAGTTGGACCAAATCCAAGCATGGAGAGAGGAAAGATGCACAGTGTCCCACCTCTAGCCAAAGAACTATTGGCAATTAATAGCTACCAGGAGAAAAGCCAATTAAAAAGCCCCTAGTAAGTAAATCATGCTTTAATAGAAGGCCATGCATCCAAGAATATTTGGGTAGTACAAATTGCAGTAACAGATTTTTAAAAAGACAAAGATGGGTGAATAGAGAAGGAAGGATGGATCTGGAGGGAGTTGGAGGACAAGGGTAAATATGATCAAAGCATTTTGCACAAAATTCTCAAAGAACTAACTTTTAAGTCAAAAAAATCAAAGACTCTCCATTAAAATTTTCTATTGCTCATCTGAAGGATATGTCTTGCAGGGAAAAAGATTATATATTGCCAACCTATATACAAATTTATATACATCAGCTATACATAGCTATTCTTTATGATAAATCAAATTGCTTATTTATTTGAAGTGATACATTTGTTTAAGAAGTATAGCTTTCACTAGAATTGGTACAGATTTTTCCTTGGATAGTATCATTGTATTAATTATCCTGACACAAAGTAACACTGTATTATTTACCCTGACACAAAGTAGCAACATGGCCAGAAAAGAATTCAGTATCTTGTGAAGGAACATGATCAAAGGATGTTATAAACTTGTCTTATGAAATGCATTATTATATACAGTGAATATATGGCAATAAATAAACAAAATTATTGGGAGATATTATTGAATGGTATAGCAATTGCCTAAAATGCATGAGACCCTGGGTTTCATCGCTAATCCTATGCTTAAAAACAGGAAAGTTAAAGGTAAAATTTAAAATATAAAATTAATCAATTAATAAGATAACAGCGTACTTGAATATACTCTAATTCGTTTTGGCAATTCAAATGTTTGTAATTTATACTTTACTTTTTACTGACAAATTTGTAAAACATTTTTTAAACTTTTGTCTAGACTTTGTTATTTTTTAAACGCACAGATTTATTAAGTTATTGATAGACATTAACATCTATGTTTTCAAAAGATTATTGTGAAGCATTTCCACTATCAGGATGTACTATTATAAGGTCAGAAACCAACTAAAGCCCAAAGTGTGAAAACCACAGCTGTGGAATCATGAACTGATTTGTAAGATGGGCTGTTCTATAGCACCCTGCTCTGTAGAAAGATTTCAATAATTTCTTGGACTGACACAGTAGTGTACAAATATTTCAAAGCCATAAGAAACCTTCATTCTGAATAAATGTTATTCAAAGTCCTAGTTCATAAGGAAAACTAAAGGAATCTTACTCATTGAACTTAAGATAGGTACCCAGAAGTAAACCCACTCACCTCCTCCTCTCCTTCTGCAACCCCCTTCCCAGGGAGTTCCAAGATAGAAGAGAACTGTGATTCTTTAAAACATCCGTTTAAACCACTACAATAGCAGTTAGGAATTCATTGTGTATATATGTTTGAAATTCTCAAAGAATAGTTTTATTAAATAAAAACTACAATTTTCCCTTGTCTCTATTTCCACTATCCAGAGGCTCTTTTATGGCTCTTTTGAAAATCTTGCCTACACACACAGAACAGCCTCTGTTCAAACTCTTGGGCCTGGTAACTTAGTACTAGATGATTTTCACAATCATATTGTTGAGATGTTTTCAGTAGTTCACATTTTTTGGATGCTCACTGTATGTCAGACTCTACAGCTAAGAGCTTCTTTACTTGCATTGCCTTGTACTCCTTGAAATGAATCCTCTTAATAAATGTTGGTAGACCTATTTTACAAATTGCTTCCATCAAAAGTGACTATATGAAGAACTACACATGGAGTCTGGATGCATTTGACATGACCCAGGATTTCATGTTGTAGTATATTTCCCTATTAGATCTCATAAAGGTTACTAGTGACTTGTAGGAAAGAGAAAGCCCAGTTTGTTTGCTTTTATCCACAACAGAACCAATCTGTGCATCTGTATCATTTAGTGTATACTTTCTTTTATTAATTTTTTAGGTTATTATTATATGCTTTATCAAAGTTTGTAAAGGCACTGTAAGTTACACATGATCCTTCGAATTTCTTCCTTTTTTCAAAATTATCCTACTTCACACAGTGGTGGCTAAATAGGTCTGGAACCAAAATTTTCTAAGATGAGCCATCAAAGACTGTAGAACTGAGCATCAATGATTTAAATATGATTAGTATTTTGGTAGTGTATGGTATGACTTTTCTTTTTGAAACCAACCTAGATTTCAAGCACTTTTCTGATACCCAGAGAAGCAAAAGGAAATAAAAGAGCTGTACCTCAGCACTCCAAGAACCTGTTTCTGTCTGGGACACTCGGTATGTATAGATGTAACCTTGATACCTGTGAAAGAGGACATTTCCATTACTAATAGTTTCCAAAAGAACAATGAATGAGCTAAAAAAAAAAAGTTATATATACTGGATGTACATGGACAGCGAGCTTCCTGGCAGTCACAGGAAGCAAGGCCATCGGATTTAATTTGCTTACATTTTATTTCAGTTCAATTACAGTTTCCAGGGATTTTTTTTCTTTGATTTAGTGTGGATTAATGTACCTAAGTATTTGTCTAGAATAGAGACTAGACAAAAAGAAGTTATAGACCTGTGATCACTGACAAAAAAATCATAATTTATAAAACACCTTTAACAAACCAGACTCTTATTGTTTTTTTAAGTATACAGAGTCTTGAGCTAAAAGTGGTTGACTGAAATAAGACCCAATTAAATTAACAATAATACTGATAGTATTAATTATTAAAGTAAGTATATCATCCTATGAAATATAATTATTCTCATATTACTATTATAATAAATAGTAATATACTATTACTATACCATTGTATAACATTGCAGTATAGCAGTAATAGTAATTGAATTTTTAAAAGGAGTACTGTAGCATAGAATGCTATCCAGCCTTTGAAATAATCAAATTCTGCTATTTACAACAAGATAAATAAAACTGGAGGGCAGGATGTCAAATAATTCAGGCACAAACAAAACAACACAAAACAAACAAAAAAAAACAAAAAGCATCTGTTTTCCCTTACATGAAGTTGCTAAAGTGTTAACCTCAAAGAAATACAGAATAGGATGGTGGTTATTATGGGGCTAGAGAGGTGGCTGAAAAAGCACTTATTACTCTGAAAAAGCAGATGACCCAGCTTCAATTCCCAACACCCACACAGTAGTGCACAACCATCTGTGACTCCAGTTTCAGGGTACCCGATGCTTTTTTTTTTTAAACCACCATGAGCACCAAGCAAGTGCATGGTGCTCATACAAACATGCAGGTAAAACACACAAAAAATATATGTGAAACTATGTTATAAAAGAGGGATCTGAGCCGGGCAGTGGTGGCGCATGCCTTTAATCCCAGTACTTGGGAGACAGAGGCAAGTGGATTTCTGAGTTTGAGGGTTCGAGGCCAGCCTGATCTACAGAGTGAGTTCCAGGACAGCCAGGGCTACACAGAGAAACCCTGTCTCGAAAACAAACAAACAAACAAACAAACAAACAAACAGAAACAAAAAAAAGAGGGATCTGCATTCAGGTGTGTCGATGCTTGCCCATAATCCTGAACCTGGATCTGGACCTGAGTGGAAGCTACATAGGTCAGCCCACCAGCAATCCTGTGCTATGCCACCAGGACTAGCCCTCCTGCCTTGCCCAGGCAAGGGACACAGCCAGTTTTCCTGCTTTCATGTCTTCAGAATTGGCTCACCTATCCCCCACTCTACTGTGCTGCCTGCCCAGTCAAAGTGTGGGGCCAGTTCTCCCAAGTGTTGCAGCTGTAGTTTTGTTTGTTTGTTTGTTTGTTTGCTTATGTACAACCCATTATTATTATCTATCATCATCTGACTGTGCATAAGCAAATCAGACATTCTTGTTCCTACGTCACTGTGCTGGTTAGCTTTTTTTCTCAACCTGATACCAGCTAGTCATCTGAGAAGAGGAAACCTCAATTATGAAAATGACTCTATCACACTGGCCTGTAGGCAGATCTGTGTGGGCATTTTCTTGATTAATGACTGATGTGGAAGAGCCCAGCCCACTGCTGGTGCTGCTTCCCATATATGGATTATATTTAAAAACCAAGCTGAGCAAGCCATGGGAACAAGCCAGTGAGCAGCATTCCTTCACGGTTTCTGCTTTACTTCCTACCACTCTCTGCCTTGAACTCTTACCCTGACTTCCCTCAATAATGAACTTCAAGCTGAAAGATGAAATAACCCTTTCCTCCCCAAGTTGCTTTAAGTCACTGTGTTTATCACAACAGAAAACAAAGCAGAGCCCCGGTCAGTGGTGGAGCATGCCTTTACTCCCAGCCAAAAAAGAAAAAAAAAGAAAACAAAGCAGAACACTTAGTGCCCACTGCTCAGCAATTCCCTATGCTACCCTCTCCTAGTTTCCCCAGACATAGACAACCACCACACTACTCTCAATCTCCATGGGAACAATTTTCTTATATTCCACATACGAATAAAAACATGTGGTACATGACTTTCTGTGTCTGCCTTATTTCATTTAACATAATGATTTCTAGTTATAGCTACATTTTTGCAAATGACAGGATTTCATTCTCTCTATGGTTGAACAGACTTCCATTCTGTTTATGTCTCCCTTTTCTGTGCTCACTCCTCAATTGATGAATCTGAGTGCTATTTCCATCTCTTGGCTTTTGTAAGTACTGTTGCAATGAATCTGAGAGTTCAAATATCTCTCCAACATACTGGTTTCATTTTCTTTGGATGCATACTCAGGAGTGGATAACTGAATAATGTGGTAGTTCTGGTTTGTTTGAAGTTCTTCTATGTTGTTTTCCGTATTGAATATGGAATATTCCATATTTCCAAATGATTGCCATACTTACATTTTTATAAATAGTGTGTAAAGTTTCCCCTTTCCCTCATCCTCATAAGTACTTGCTATCTTTACATTCTTTGGTAATAGCTTTTATTTTTTATTTGTTGTTTATTCATATATTTTTAGTGGAATGATGGAATAATCTCGTGATTTTGAGTTTCATTTCCCTGGTGATCAGTGTACTGAACAATTTTTTCATTACTTTCCTTTTTATAAAGATTTATTTTATTTTTATCTTATGTGTTTGATCTTTGCACCTGCATTTATGTCTGTGAATTATGTTCGTGCAGTGCCCATGGAGGCCAGAAAAGAGGATTAGCTCCCCTGGAACTGGAGTTACAGATGGTTGTGAGCCACCATGTGGGTGCTGGGAACTGAACTCAGGACCTCTGGAAGAACAGCCAGTGCTCTTAACCACTGAGCCATCTCTCCAACCTCTCATAATTTTCTTAATAAATATTTCCCTAATAGAAAAGTAAGATGACCTTTATGATGAATTTTTGAACAAAATTTGATTTTGAATATAAATAAATTATCATAGTCTCATTTAATATATTTTCTGTTGTTCTTAGACACAGGATTGGATCAGTAGGTATCCTTGTTTAGGAAATATACTAAAGTCTGTTTAAATCACTGTGTTTAAACTTAAAAGAATAGATGCTACTAAAATCTTACAAAGAAAGGACTATGTTTAGTTCATTGCTCACACTGGCATTAAGTCCCTTTAGAATTAAAAAGGCTTTAAATATTTGAATTAAATTGTTATGCCTTTAATCAATACCCATCAGCACTAATTACCCAACGAACTACAAAAGACATTTAAAACACTCTAATCGGGTTCATTTGACTTGGGAAATTGAACAAAAAGTCCAATTTAAATGTCCGTGTGATCACAAAACGAATGTTTTATTTCTGTAACATAGATTTACCAAAGTATTCGAATCACATATAAAATAATTTACTATGTGCTTATATGGAATGTGTTGAATAAACGATTTTACTGGTAAGGTCTTACTTTGAAATCATTGAAATCTACCTTAAAGCACACTAATTTCAGTAAGTACTCAACAGGGAACAAGACAAGAGCTTTGATTTCTGTTTTCACCATGGGAACTTGAAACATGTTTCAAGGGACTTTCCTAAAGCTATCCAGAAAAATGGAGATGGAAGCAGGGCCCTTAGTTTTACTTTTCCCTTTGGGAAGCTATTAATGTGAATAATTCACAGTAACTTTAAGAGTGATGATATAGAAAACAACAGTGCTTAAAAATCTCAACAAGGGAGCTTGGGTCATAACTGTGTTGGTGAAGTGTTTTCATCCAGGCAGGAAGATCTGAGTTCAATCCCCTAAACCCATTCTGTGCATGACGCTATGCACTTGTAGTTCCAACATTGAAGAGGCAGAAGCAGGCAGAAACCTGGGGCTCACTGGACAGCCAGCTACCAAGGATGGTGAGCTCCAGAAAAGTGAGAGTACCCATTGCAAAAAGTTAAGATGAACAACTCCTGAGGACTAGCACCTGAAGTTGTTCTCTGGCTTCCATACACATGTGTAGACATAAGCACTTAGACACACACATATATACACATATACATGTGTACATGCAAAAACACAAAAAATAAAATTTCAGTAACTTAAGCAAAGTGGTAAGCAAACTGTCTTCCTGATTCTAAAGTAATGGGCCTCAAAATATACAATGTATATACTTCTTTACCATCATTCAGCTTCATTTAGTCAAACTAGATGAGTATGTTTTGAAAATTGTTTCCTAACGAATCTGATCTTATCTCTCTTTCGGTTAAGCAGCAGGAACCTGAGTACCACTTCAAAAGCTCTTACCTTCTTCAGTCTCCAAACAAGCTGATGTCAATGGCACATATATTTTCTCATGATTAAGGTATCTGATATTAACAATTTCCCCACCCCAAGCCCTTGAATTTTGAATGAACAAACTTTTCTCTCAAATAAACCAGAAGTGTCTGACTTCTGTTTTCAGTCATATAACTTACTAGTCAATCATCCTCCATAGACGACATCCATAATAGTATGCCAGGGATGAGAGAAATCTACAGCAGAACAACTCAGATTGCATTGCTAAGCTTACAGCATTTGGGAGTCACCTGATACGGGTGCTGGGAACCAAACTCAGATCCTCTGAAAGAGCATCGAATGCTTTTAACCACAGAATATGCTTTTAAAAACCATGTATATGTCTGTAGAAAATCATTGTTATAGGAAAAAGTAATGTGTTAATAAAAGCCATAAAACTGTACTTATCTTTGACCAAATAACCTTGCTAATCATCATATTCTCCAAGGAAATAAGTCAAAAGGAAAAAAACTATGTTTTTAATTGTAAAGTAAAATAAACCTAACTACCCCGAACAAGTAAACATTACTCAAAAATTAAGAGAATAGTTTTTAGATATGCATTCAAAAATGCATGTGATTAAAGTAGAAATAAAAAGTACATCAAAA